TGTTGTTCATTCTCAATTAGGACATCTATCAACGCAACAAAATGTTTCACCTCAACTTCTTCACCAATCTCCTAATTCTAAACAAACATCAAATCAGCAGCAACAGCAACTTAATAAGCCTGTTGCCTCTAAAATTAATCTTTCGCCAGAGGAATATATTAAATTAGATGTGTCAAATAAACAAAGGGAAGATGCTCAGAAAGTAGATGATGATACGATTACAAGTAATGGTGGTGATGTTGATAATGGTGGTGGTCTTGGCATCAATGAAATGATAAAAAGAATGACAAAAACTAATCAACAAGCTTATCTTGTAAAAGAACAAACACCAAAAACATTTGATAATAATGATTTAAGTTCTAACTCCAAACAAATGGAAATTTTGAAAGAGAAAGACATTTCAAGTTGTAAAATAAAATATGATTGCTTTGACTTGAATAAATCTTTCAATAAAAAATTAAATTTGCCCTCAAGTATTTGGGCAACTTTAGTTACTAAAAGAAGTAGTTTTAATTGGTAACAGTGTATATATAGTTCATATAATGAAATAATATAAAAAATCTTTAAAATTTTCAATCAATAAATTCTTTACCTATAATAACAGTACTAAAGAAGAAAAAATTTTTTTTTTGAAATAAATATCTGATATCTGAAAATATAACAAATTTATAATGATTGATTATAAATTATAAATAAAAACTGGTGTGTGCACAAAAATGCTGCAATTTATTTTGAGGTTTCCAGTTTTACGATCAAAAAATAATTACAAAAAGAATCTGCGCACAGATCGTTACTAAAAATAATAAAGGGGGAAACAAACACACACACGTTTAAAGCTTTCCATTACAGGAATAATTTGATGAAGAAGGGCACAAAGTTAAATCTTTTCTTCAAAATTAATAATTTAATATTTTTTTAATTTAATCTAAATTTTTTTGATAACAAATTAATTTTTATTTATTATTAATAATAATATTATTACATTCATTAATTTAATTAATTCAATTGTTATTTTATTATTTATTTATTACATTACATTATTACTATTAAAAAAAGGAGATCAGATTTCTTATTATTTTTTAAATAAAGTCGTTTGTTTGTTTGTTTATTTTTCACATGCTGATCATTCGTTAACTGATGTAGCTAGCACAATGATACGAAATAAGTCGAAGAGAGAATAATTGTTGAGTTAGTTGTTTTTAACAAGAATTGTAAAGCGAGGTAAATTTTTAATGGATCTATTTAATTTTTACCAACAAAAATTTTTTAAAAAATTTTAAAATGTTTCTATTAATAATATTAAAGTATACTTACATATGATAATGCCGCCGTATTCAAATGAAAAAAATAACAGGTTTAACACCAATGATATTAATAGTAAAGAATATTATATAATAATAGTAAGAGCAAAATATTGCCTTTTTTACGTAATATTAATAGTAATTATAATAATAAAATAAATCATTTCAATTGTAATTGTAATAGAATTTACTTCAACTAAACTAACCCAAAGCTTTTCCAAGAATATTCTAAAAGAACATAAAGCCGTTCTTAAAGAAACTCGTCCGCGCCATACAAAATACAGATTATCGTAGTACACGTGATTGAAACGATATGTGGTTGGTTAAAATAAATTGTCAAGTTATCACTAATATTAATTCCAAAAACTTATCCTTTTTAACAGCATACAATGCCTGAATTCTTTCTACAATCATCAATATACAAGAGCATCAGGCATATTTCTAGTCTGTTCTAAAGGCGTTATTGAATCAAGTGCTTTTAAAACAGTTTTTCAAAACCTTTAACAGTTAAGTGAATAATCGCAATCTCTTCATGTATATTTTTTGAAAATGTTCAAATAAAATCTGAAATTTTAAGAAAAAATATTATTACTTTATAAACCATGACGAATAAAAGAAGAACAAAAGGAACAAGTTTTCAATTAGTTACGTACAAATTCTCTTAAAAACATCTCAATTCCTTTTTTTGCCTTCCGTTTTCTAAATGCATTTTTGAGGCTCTCAATTAGGTAGATAATACAACATCTCATAAAGGTAATATATTTATCACTACCACCAGTTCTGGGGCATCTTTGACAAAAGTTGCATGACTAGTCGCATTAACATTGTCAAATGTAAATTACTAAAATTAAAGGATTGCTTGTCATAAAAAATCTATCTGATTTTTTACTCCATAACTTTGATAATAAAAATAATTTATATATCACACAATTTACTCAGGTTTATCGTAACACGCTTCTTCGTCTTAAGCCCGATCATTCGTATTAGAAAGTGGTTGTAACAGGATTATTAAAATTGTTATACATCATGTTATTAAGGGTCTCCCAACGATTACGCGATAATTTACCCAAATTTAGATTATTTATATTTAACCAAAAAAGGTAATAATCACAAGGGACGGATTATATGGGACATACTGCAACAAAACCAGACAAAGTGAACATTGGTATTACCAGAATTTCAGGGATCAAAATTTAGTCATTTGTACATCCCATTTTCTATCTTGAGTGATATATAGAACTGACCCATATAAAAACAATAAAAATTTGCTTAGAATTAAATAATATTTGTTGTTATTTTTTTTTGTATATTAAAAAGGTGGTGGTGATTATTAACCTGTTGCTTGCTACTCTACTCTATTTATATAGATAAAAAATAGACATGACTTAGCTTTTTTGTAGTTATTAATACTTGTACATGAATACCTGATTATCCAATACATTTTATGTTGTAATTGACATAACAAACAATTGCATCACCCAGGTAATAATAACACCAAGACCATGCAGAAATGAAACTTTTAATAACGCATGTCTACCCAGATCTCTGGGGTTCACAAGAATAAATAAATAGGGAGGATCAAAAAAAAACATTTCCCTTTCCCAATGTATAGTTCCTTATGAATAATAAATCTGATGATGTTGATCACAGGTGTCAGATTTAATAAATTTTCCTATCACAAACATGCAGGGTCGTACAATTAAGCACCATTCAGCACCATGGAATTTTTTTTCCACAGGTGAAAGCAACCTGAACATGTTGGAAGGCTTTTTCAAGGTTAACAATGATTTTTCCCTTCAATGTTCATTTGGTAACAGCCAAGTCTGGTCTAATTGTTGATGAGAGTCAGCATTCATGTGATGTTTGCTTTGTGTTATCTTCTCCCCTAGAATAAAGTTGGCATCTGCAACCAACATAAGCTGTTGTTTTGTTGGGATGACACACCTACTAACTAAATTTCCTAGATGAAATAAATAACCTACAATATATTGTATTCAATTACCATTCAAAAAATATAAATCTGGTTAATCAAATAAAAATTAAAGAAACAGAAAATTTGGGAATGATTTATTTATACAAAACATACCAAACAAAATCCGAACCATTTTATTTTACTAACATCAAAGCCCAAATGCATTTCAGGGCCACCAACCCTGCTCTGGATTGCAACCTCACATGCTTGAAATGAGTTGCAGATTCTCTCAATATTCCTCCAGAGTTGCGACAGCTTGGTCAGCTTGGTCACAGATCCATCCTTACCCTAGAGGTAGGATTGTTGCAGGTGACTTTTCGTCTAACATGCCAGTAGCCTTCTCTGGTCTGGTGCTGTGAGGGAAGATTATCAAAGGTGTCATTGACGATTGATGCAATCTCAGTAAATTCCAGGGCCTTACACCCCTCCCTGGAATTTTCTAGCATCATTGCATCATCAGGGGCCTTGCAGTCAGATTAGCCTTGTGTACATGAGGAATGTGAGAATGACTGTAAGTGTTCAAGGTAGTGTGCGTGCTTCAACGTCTGTAAATTTCTGATAATCAAACGTTCATATCAAATGTTTCTTCTAAAAGTCAGGTGTGTTGCCTTGGCATCTTGTAATTATAATAATATTAATGTTATTATTAACATTGATTACGAAAAGCCAAATACCAATCGTTATAATTACCCAGCGAGATCTGCCCCACGTTTTGATTTAAAAGACATATCAATGCAAATTAAAAAAAAGTTACCTCTGGTTAGTTATTAGCATGTTTCTTTTTAGAGCCCAATCACGCCAAATAACATCTCTCGCATTTTGTAATCTGTCAAAAAATAAATTGTTTTTCCAAAAAAAAAAAAAAAAACAATCGCGTCAAAAAAAAAAAAAAAAAAAATGGGGGTTCCATACATAATAATAAATAATCGGACGCGTTGTCGGTCGATCAAATAACAAAATTTTTTCTTTTTTTTACTTTAAAAAAAAACATGCCCAAAGAAGATAAATTAAAAGAAAGAAAAAGAAAAAAAGCAGATGAACTGATCAAGAAAGAAAGAAATGGGTAAGTGTTGTTTATCGTAAGAATGGTGGTAGTGGTTATCGCCACTCGTCGTCTCTCTAGTTTATATATAACAGTCATCTGTGATGTCACAATGAGTGATTTTGTTATAGCGATCAACATAGCTCTTTTCCATACAACAGACTTTAAATGAGGAATGTGAGAATGACTGTAAGTGTTCAAGGTAGTGTGCGTGCTTCAACGTCTGTAAATTTCTGATAATCAAACGTTCATATCAAATGTTTCTTCTAAAAGTCAGGTGTGTTGCCTTGGCATCTTGTAATTATAATAATATTAATGTTATTATTAACATTGATTACGAAAAGCCAAATACCAATCGTTATAATTACCCAGCGAGATCTGCTCCGCGTTTTGATTTAAAAGACATATCAATGCAAATTAAAAAAAAGTTACCTCTGGTTAGTTATTAACATGTTTCTTTTTAGAACCAATCATGCTAAACAACATCACTCGCGTTTTGTCATCTGTCAAAAAATAAA